TTCTCTATTACAATGCCTCTATTTATACAAATATATGAGACTCTATTATTGATCTATTACATCATTTAGTACATCAGCAAAGACACACTTGCCTTTCTATTATTGTCTTCCTTAGACCTATATCTTTACATGTAGCATTTGATTTTTATTAAAGGAGCTTCTATTATTGTCCTCCTTTTTTTCTTTTATATCTCCACATGCCTTTTCAACTTTTTATCCAAATAGCATCTTTCCTTATTATTGTCATCTATCTTTTATGTTTTCACATGCAGTTGGGGCACTCCCTTAGTTGGCAAGATTCTTTTATAGTGATAGAAAATCCTAAGAATTGATATATTTCAAATATTGTAATGTAGTCCTTCAAGATTTCTGATTTTTTATGTCCTTCATTTGATACCAACATCCAGTTTTCATATTGACACAAGCATGAGAATTTTTTATCAAACAAATTTTTAGTAATATTGTATATAACTTTAATTTCAAATGCTCTTCTATGTCTGATCCATGACTTTGTTACTGTTGGAACTTTTATATCATTCTCCACCACATCTAATTGGAAGTTGGCTGCTACATACCCAATTGATATTAGTAAACAACTCCATCATATTCAGTACTTATTGAATAACATTTCAAATACATTTTTCGTCCTTTGGCAAATTTGGATTCTTCTTTTATGAATATATCATCAAATTTTGAAATTTCAATCAAAATTTTTTCTAGATACATTAAATCCATAAATTCATAGTCTACCATAATATTTATAAACGAAGGGTCTCCTCCTTCCATGGCTGTTAATCTGGGATAAACATTATTTTTCGGAGAGATGAAGTATGAATCACTTATTTTTATTTCATAAGAAATTCTGACTATTTTAGCATATTCATCTTCTTTTGGATCTAAAGGAATTGTATCATCCCGATCTATGATGCTGATAGTTTTGGAATCTCTTTTATCTCCATGTATCATCACTTTTTTGGTTGATGATACTGAAATGGAATCTCCCTTTTTATCGGTTGGTATGTTGTCACATCTGAGTTCACTGCTGCTTCCAGCTGTCCCTATTTGGTATTGAATTGGAAAGCTCATTTCTGAGCTCTGTGTTATATCTGTTTCAAACAGTATATTTTTTAGTTGTGCTACAATTGCATCAACTTGATTTTTGAGTTCTATGGTCTCTTTTTGTTGTTCAGTAGTGATATTCAACAAAATTTGTATATTTAAGTTGAACATCTCTGAAATTTGTATTGCTCATGTATTTATGTCTTCAGCTTCTTCTTTGAGAAAATCTATCATTTTTTGTATATGTTGGATAGATTGGTATAAATCAATGACCTTAGCTTTATTTATCAGCAAATTTTATGTTTCTTCTGAGAAAATTTGCAAGAAAATTATTGACTTCTTCAATATGAACTATATCAAAATTATAAAATGTTAAATAAGCTTACCATCTATGGAGCCTTCTGTATTGAGATTCTGATGGTAGTTTATTCCTGACTAATCCTATAACTTGAGAATTATCAGTTTCAACAATAAAATTCTTGGATAATAAAAATAATGAGAACTTTTTTATTCCTCTAATTATTGTTAGTAATTCTTTCTCGTGAGTGGTATAATTATTTCTACTTGATTAAAAGCTCCACTTGAATATCTACAAGTCTCATTTAAATCTGTCTTTAATACTGCTGTCCAATATTTATCCGAGGAATCAGTGTTAACAATCAAATTATCTTTTTCATTTGGTAATCTTAATTTTGGTAAATTTTTACATTCTTCTTTTAATGATTTAACTATTTTTGTATGTTTTTCATCCCATCCTTTAGTATTTGTTTTTCTAAGCAAAATTTGTAGTTTATACCATTTCTTAGAGAGATTTTCAATAAATATTTCTACATAATTTAAACATTCTAAGAATTTTGTATTTGTTCTTTAGATTCTAATTGATCTGAAAAACTTTCTATCTTTTTAGATATATGAGTCTGCAATTTTATTCTTCTTTTATCTATTGATAATCCAAGAAAGTCTATTTCTTATTTTTCTATTATAGATTTCTTTTTAGAAAGTACAATTCCTTCTTTTTTACATTCATAACTTGGATTAAATGATTTCTATCTTCTTCTTTACTATTAGAACATATTAGTATGTCATCTATATAAACAATTAGAAATTCATTAAACTTTTTAAATATATTATCCATTTTTCTTTGATATATTTGTGGTCCCTTTTTATAAATCCAAATGACATTACTAACCATTTATATTTCCTTGGAGGTGTACTAAATGCAGTATATTGTATACCATCCTCTTTCATTTTTATTTGACAAAATTCTGATTTACAGTCAAATTTAAAATAATATCGTTTTCCTTTTGCAAGATTTATTAAAACTTCTTTATTTGGTAAAAAATATCTATCAAATTTAGTATATTTATTTAATTCTTTATAATTTATAATCATTCTAACTTTTTCTCTAACATGTCCAGAATGTTTCATAACCATAAAGGCTGGACTATTATGAGGTCCATTGGTAGGTCTAATAAGTTTCTCTTCTAATAATTCTTTTATCTGATTTTTGAATTCTTGTGTATCTTCTATAGTGTACATTATTGGTCTGACTCTTATTATAACATTTTCTATTAATTCTATTTTGGCTTTAGGGTTATGTGGTTTCCAAAATAATAATGGATTTTTCCCAGAAACTTTTTCTATTCTTATTTTTATTCCCTTTCTAGAACTTTTTATATAGTATCCTTTTATTTTTTTATTTAATTAAATATGATTGATTTTTTCTCTCATTTATCACCACACTGGGTTGGCTGAATTCTATAAGGTCTAAATTTTCTTGAAATTTTTAATAAGTGTGAACAAAGTGTTTGTGACATTATCATATAATTATTTTGTTTATAATATTGAAATTGTTGTATAAAGTCATATTCTAACAATATATCACATTCTAATTTATCATATTTATATATTTTATTTATTGTAACTTATTTACTTCCAAGAATTATATTAATTTTATCAGTACTATTAGTTATTTGAGTGCTTTCGCATGTGACTCCAGTTATTTTTATATTACTATTATTATTCTATGATTTTATCAAAAAAAATTTAAATATTGTTACATCACTTCCTATATCTATTAAAGCACAAATTGTTATATTTGTTTCTACAATAGCAACTTATACATATACAGTTAATGAAAAACTTATCTTATTGTTCATTTAGTTCTTTTTACATAATATAATTTGTCCATTATGTACTATGTATAATCATTCTCTTTTTATACTATAATTTTCTAATCCATTTAAAAAATTCATTTCTAAAAGTATGTGAAAGTTTATATCCATACTCTTATCTATATAACATGGTACTAAAAGTTTTATTCCTATTATTTTTATTGGTACTTTAACCTTTAATTCTGAAATATGTATTTGTCCATCAAAATTTACATATCTATATGAATCAGTTTTATGAGTTATTAATCCTTTATTTCTGATTGAAGTTATATGACATTCACTAGCTCCTGTATCTATTAATATATTTAGTCCATTTATATATTCTTTTCCATTATAATATTCTCCTTTTATTTTCATATTTCCAGCATTTCCGTAAAATTTTATTTCTCTTATATTATTAAATTCTTCTAACTGGTTTTTATTATGTATTCTAAGACTTTTAGATCTTTTAATTAGTTTTCCATCCTTAAATGTTATATTATTAGAACACTCTTCTTCATTTAATTCTGTTATTTTAGGTTTATTTCTGATTATACTAAATTTATATTCTTCTGGAATTAAACTTATTTATTTATTTGGTTATATTATTTTGCTACTATTCTTACATTTTTTTATGTACTTCAATATATGATTTTTTGGAATAAATATTTCCATAATTAGAATTGATAAATGTGTATAATGCTCTGTATTCTATAGTCATAATTTGATTATTTGGTTGTATGATATAATTTCTATGTAGCTTAAAATGCAATCCTAAAACTTCATTAAAGTTTCTATTTTTCAATGATACACAATATTTTGGGTAGCATGTAAACATTATTTTTTAATATGCTAAATTTCCTTCTATTGTTCCCAAATAATTATCTTTTAGATTTACTATTCTTCAATCATGTAAGGTTATAGTTAAGGGTGAATTTATCCCTTCTCTAAATAATGATTTAAACATTATTTGAATTCCTACTAGATAAACATATTGAATTTTTTCACTTTGTTTTTTATTGATCTTTGTTAATAGTTTTTCAACTATATTTTTTGTTATAAAATTTAATTTATGATTTCCATATGTTGTTTTTACATCTATAATTTTCTCAATTTTATGATATTCATTTATTACTTTCCTTTCTCTTTTCTAAATTCTGTCTAAAACTTTCCATTTTCCAATTTTTAAATCTAAAGATAATTTTTGCATTTTCTTAAATTTATTATTATCAAAGGTTACTATTAACCCATAACCTTCTATCCCTTCATATTCTTGTATATTTATATTATTATTTTTTATTTCTTCTATTTCCTTATTCAGATTCTGATTCATCATCCTCTATTTCACTTATATATACTTCTTGATTATAATATTGTTCGATATTCGATATTTCACTTAATTCATCTTTTATTTCTAAATATTCTTTTTGTAATATTTTAACTTTTTTTTTTCACACAATCATGCTTATAGGACATATTTCCTCACAATTCCAATATTTACATTGACTTTTATTTTTCTGTTGACCATATGAGATATTTTTTCTATTGTAATATCTTCTTCTAGGTTTTATATATTTTTTATTAAAATTTTTTATTTTTATATTTTCTTTGGTTAACCCTTCTTTCAGGATTACATCCCCATTTATAGGGTTTTCCATATCTTCACAACATATTCTAGTTAAATTTTCTGATTTTTTTCAATAATTGTTTTTGTTGAGATATAAATGCAAGTCTTTTAGATAAAAATTTTATCTTTGAACATAAAGTTCTAGGTATTCCAATATTATCTCTGACATATTTTTCAAATTCTATTTTAAAATATATTCCCCATGAACCTGATAACTTATTATAGTACATGTCTTGATATACTTCTTGATTTTCATTACTATAGAACTGAACATAATAATAATTTCTAAATTCACAAGTATATTCTTTAATTTTACACATATCACATTATTAAATTTATTAATTTAACTCTAACATTATCTTTTTCTCTCATTGCCTTTTCCTCAGCATTTTTTATTCAATTTTCTCCTAAAAATTCATCTAAAATATATTCTACTAACTTTCTGTATCTTGTTTATTTGATTTTATTATTTCTGTTTGTACATTTCTTTTTATTACTATTTTTGTATCATTACTTATTCATTCCCACTCATTTCTAACATTCCATTCAAAGGATGCTATTAAGAAATCTTTTATTTTTTAGTACTTTCCCATGTGTCATCTTTATTATTTAAAAAAAATAATATCATTGAGTCTGCCCAAGTTCATAAGACTTTTTTAGTGTCTATTTTACAATTTAAATCTAATTTTGTTCTTCCATGATTAATTAGTTCATCATAATTATCATTTAACTCAAATATATCTTTATATTTATTTATTTTACGTGGTTGTCTATCTTTTACTTTATTATAAAATTGTCTATATAGTTTATTAATATAGGTGCATAACTTTCATCTGATTCTGGTAATTCTTGTTTAGAAGTTCCTACAGGATTATGTCCTTCTCCAATATTTATTAAAACTTGGTATTCACTTATATCATCTAAACTTAATTGATCAAAATTTTTTATTAGTAAATCTAATTCTTTATTCATCTTTATCTTTTACTTCTAATTTTCCTAATATTTTTTTCTCTAGATCCTTCTTCTTCTTCTTCTAATATTTTAGGTAATATATTATTTCTAAATTCATCGTCCATACTTCCTATTTCTATTACTATATTCTCTTTCTCAATATGTTTCTTTCCTATTCGAGTCATTTCTTTTTCTATTAATTTTTTTATATATTTTCTTTTCTTTATTTTTATTATTTTCTTTTATTTCTCTAATTTCAATTTTTAATATATTTATATCGTTTTTTGTTTCTTTTACTTCATTTCTTAAATCTTGTACATCATTTATTAAAATTTTATTAATGATTTTAATTGTTCCATATATTTACTTATTGACATGATAAATCTTTTTAATCATCTTTCAAACATATAAGTTAATTTGCATCTTTTATCTTCTTTTTTATCTATTATTAATACCCAATCTTCTATTAGCTATATCTGTATTTACTAATTCTTCTTTTACTATATTAAAATATTTACTCTCAAGACTTAATTTTTGACATTTTAATTTTATTAATTATCTTTTATTTGATATTTTTATTCCTTTTGGTATTAACATTATATATTGTATTTTTTCTTGTATTTTCGCCATTTTTATGAATAATCTATTTAATTTCAAATCTGTATTATTACTTGCACTCACACTTTTCTTTATAATATAAATTAATTTCTTCATCTTCATATACCTTAACAATTTTTTCATATATATAATTATCTTTTATTGATCTTATTATTAATTTCTCTATTATTTGTTCTTTTATTTCTTTGGACAATTCTTTCATTATTGTTAATGTCATTATTTTTAATTTATTATGAATAAGTTTTAAAAATATATAACTTCCTCTTTCATCTTCTAAATGTCAATAATTATTTATTTTTCTTATTTTAATTTTCATGATCTCTATGCCTCTGATACCAATTAGAGAATTGCTACTTTAGGCAAACAAAAATCAAATAAATCTGTAAACAATAAATCTATCAAAATTCAAGTAATATTTAATTTTAAGGATTAAAATGAAAGATTTCTATATTATAGTGGCTTGTTATGCAATATTCAAAAAGAGGGATATTTTAGATATTTTTTATTTGATAAAAAAGGTCTTTTTGAAAAAATGCCTCTTTCGTTATTTCCATGTATATCCCTCAAAGCACTGCCACTGCCATTAAAGAGGGGTTCTCAAAATTTAAACTCTAGGGTTTAAGAAATTGTTCAAGCAGAAAAGCTTCAATGAGTGACTCAAGAGAAGATTCTCCTGACTGGTTACGCTCTTTCCAGGTGCTTTTAATCGTATTTATCTCATATTTAATCAGATTTTAGTTAATTAAGTCCAGTATATGCTATTGGACTTTGTTATTCCATTTCAATTTTGTTTATCAATTTACGCAATGTCCTGTGCAGGAGCTTTATTTTTGGTTAATTAGAGTCAACCTTAGGATTTATTGAGATATGGAAAGCCTAGTAGTAGATTAATAATTAATTGTATTTTTTCGCAGTTTCATGTATTTTGACGGTGCTTAACTACGAGTGAAGTTTCTAAAGTAAATTGAATTTAGTTAGACTGATAGTTGAAACTTTTGCATGGGACATGATTATTAGAATTTGATTTGTTGAATAGACGCCGGCAGTAGCTATTGCATTGTCATCCGGATCAGAATCGCCCCTATCTGACAGTCCACAAAGAAACGAAGAGGATGAGATCGTTCTCAGTAAATTGTTCAAGAAAGAAGATGAGCAGGTTCCACAGATTAAAGATAATGACGAGGAATATCTGATTAGTGAGCCTGTCAAAGGAAAGTCTCCAAAAAAAAATGAGAAAACAAAGCTGACACCGGGAAAGAAGAGAAGAAGAAAAGATGACACTGAGATACAAGGTGGGTCTTTTGTATTTTTGAAGAATATATGCATTCATCTATATAGAATTGATGATTTATCTTTTCCCCCAAAAGATAGTAGGAAATTAATGAGGAGATTACTAGATTGTCTAAAGTTAAAAAAAGAATTAAATAGAAAAATTCTCTTTTATGATTATGCAGGAAAAGCATCTAAGAGGAAAACATCTGAAAAGCCTGTCCACCCTCAGGTAAGAAGCTTCTCTTTTACTCCGTTTTTTACTAAACTTGCTATATTACTAGGTAAATATATGGTCTGAAGATCGAGTCCATTTCAAGGCTCATCCTCGCTCATCTGAACTCTTCAGGTTTATCCATATACCTTACAGGATCATTATCTGTGGAACTTGTGAGTGTTTATTTGTTCTTTTCCCTTTGTATAATGTCTAAATGAACGTCTGAAAGGGCATATTTGCTCATGGAAAGCCTTAATTGTTTAAGATACAGGAATCATTTTTTTTCCTGGCTATGTTGTAGATAAAAATTTCATTGACTTTTTAAGGAGATCTTGTTTTCTGGGTTCTTCTCCGAGGTATGGATATGGTAAATATATTCCTGGTCACAACTTGAGAGGCAGATGCAGAAGATGGTTAATCAATTCATTTTAGAAGAATATAAGTTTGAAGTTCCTGGCTATGTTGTAGATAAAAATTTCATAAACTTTTTAAGGAGATCTTGTTTTCTGGGTTCTTCTCCGAGGTATGGAGATGGTAAATATATTCCTGGTCACAACTTGAGAGGCAGATGCAGAAGATGGTTAATCAATTCATTTTAGAATAATATAAGTTTGAAGTTCGTAAGCCAAAGATTACTCTTCCTGAGAAATCAAATAATTTTCTCTCTTTCTTTTTTTCCTTCTTCCTTCCCCGTGGTTCATAAGCCACTGGTTCTTATGGAATTACATTCATTTTGAAGTGTGTATTGATCATTCTCTGTTTACAAATGACAGCCATGAAACATTAGAGCAAAGGCTATTCCTTATTATCTTGCTCAATAGCTTAACAATACTTGGCCTATGACACTTAGGTTTGGAATTTGTGTTTCCCAAAATGACACTATTTAGCAGTTGGAACTTTGAAGAGTCTTTTACAATGCTGTTTATGACCTTAATGCAAGAGGTGAGATAGATCATCTTTCAGGAGGTGCTAATTGCAATGATATGAATTGGGGATTTAACCTGTAATAGATAGTACTTGCAGAACACCCAGAATATATGCTTTTGCCACTTGTCATAGTGATTCCTTGATGTTTTCAGAATCCTGAATTAATGATCCAAAATGTTGTGATTTGATTTCTGATTATTCCAATATCAGAACTTTGTCTACTAGTATTCCACACATCAATTTTAGAAGGTTACTGATTGTAGCAGACGAACTATTTACTTTGTTGTCTGCTCTAATGACCATCGTGAATGTGCATTTTTGATCAGGAACAAAAGCACTCCGTTTTGACATTGTCTTCAGATTCAGTGTCTTCTCAAGATACCAGCCCCATTAGAACTGGAGATAGACAAATGTCTGCCCATGATGAGGGCCCATGTATAGACAACAAAATAGATGACGATGATATTGTTCTTGATAATGATGGAGAATCTCCAATTAATGATGCCTCCAAGGTAAAGCCTCCAAGAAAACAGTTGCGAAAAGAGGATGCCAAATCCTTAAAGAAGAAAAACACAAATGGGAATATAGGTGGAGGTAAGTAGGATGTTTTTGGATCTTGGTGTTTCCACAAGGATTATGAATCACTGTTGGAACTATAAATATATGCATCTTGTTAGACTTGATAAAAATAATCTTTCCATCTTAAAACTGTATTTTATCTTTTATAATCCAGAGAATTGTGGCAACATTGATGTTGTGAAGGAAGATATCTCTGAGAAGCATCATGAACCTCAGGTGAGAAGCTTTAGTTTCTAATCAAAGCTTCCATATACTCTGGTTTATAAAATGCTTGTGATATACTGATGCAGGTCTCCTCTTCAAGGTTGCCTTTGGTGCTTTCAGAGAAAGTCCAACGTTCAAAGGTAACCCTACCATGCCTAGATATCATATTCAACAGATAACTCTTTTATTGTTGTATTTGCCTCCTTTTCTGAAGTCGCAAAATTAGTGATGGCCTCATATGAATCTCTGTAAAACCTTACATTGGCTCCCTCTCTATTATTAGTGAGGATTTAAAAGACACTGTCCTTTGTTGAGGTTGTGATATGAAGGGAGTCCACCCTGTTTGCCTCACCATTGTTTAAGTGGAGTTGAACCTAATGATTACTTCTCATTTTGCATAATAAATACGTATGAACTGGTCTTTTTTCGAGCCAAATCAAGTGAGTTACACACACTAAATTATGATAGAAATAATGTCTCTTATTGTTAATTTTCATATTTTTACTTCCTTTTTGTCAAGGAGCCTTCTTCATTATCTTCTCCTGTATATGTCGTTACTCAAGGCAATGAGGGACTAATAGAATGACACTTTGTAGTCACTTCTTGATTTTCTTCTTTTGTTCTGCAGGCACTTATTGAGTGTGAAGGTGACTCCATAGATTTGAGTGGGGATGTGGGTGCTGTTGGACGGATAGTTATTCCGGATACTCCTTCCACAAACCATGAAATGTTATTGGATTTGAAAGGCATGTACTACTCCCAGTTTTATGTTTATTTGTTTTGTTGTTTTCTTTGAGCAGCACTCTTAATACTATGTAACCAATCTCATAATCACAAAAATGCCCAACTTCTAAGATAGCCAATGAACAGGCTTTTGTGATTGAAGTAACTGATTACTAAAAATTTTTCCATCGTTTACATTCAGTCAACATCAAGGGCCAGATAATACTTATTTTTGTATTTTCATATTCTTCAATTTCCAAAAGCACAGAAGAGATTAGGGTAGAATCGAGTATTTATTACTCTGAAACCTCTGTAGTTTGATACTTTATCAGGTAAAATGTTATGCAGACTTCACTTCCTCTTTATCTGATTTTGTCAAACTAATTTATGTTTCAGGAACCATATACAAAACAAGTATAGTTCCATCAAGGACATTCTGTGTGGTATTTCTTGACACCCTACCCCCCCTCCCCCTCTCTCTCTCTCACATCACTCACTGGTTTATGTAATTTGGTTATTGTTCAGGTGAGCTTTGGCCAATCAGAAGCAAAGGTTTGTCCATTTGTTGTCGTTTCCGCTCATCTTATTTTTCTCCTTTATGCCCCCATCGCACCTCTACCCTGAATCTCATTCTCCCACCAGCTCAAGAAGTGATATTATGTTTGTTTTACTACTCATCTCCCAAATTGAGAAGGAAAAAGTAAACGGGCAATAATTACTGTGGTTAATTAACTTCTGCTCTTTATGAATTGTGAACAGATAGAGGCTATCATGAATGACTTTATTCAGTTGAAACCACAATCTAATGTTTATGAGGCTGAAACCATGATTGAAGGTAAAACTTTTGTTTCATGTTCTGGGTATGGCATACATATTGGAACTCTGATTTTTACATTTCATTTTATGTATTATTATTCAAGCGGTACAAGCTCTTCTTTGATTTAGTTTCTCCTGCATGAGTAGGGACGCTAGATGGATTTTCATTTGATTCAGAAGATGAGGCTGACAATCTTCACAAATCTACTGCTCAAGCAAATCAACATGATGGTGCTGAAGAACAACCAATGCGAAAAGCCAAAAGAAAATCCGAGAAAACATCAGTATGCAGAGTGTTTTGTTATTTAACTATCATGATGCTTCTATTGCTATTAAATATGTGCTCTAACTGATGGAAGTCTGGGTTCAGGGGGCAGCACCAAAGAAGGGTAAAGCTGCAGGAGGAAAGCCACCTAAGAAAGTAAAAAAGAAACCTCAAATTTCAAAGAAGAGCAAAGTCAGGAAATGAGAGACGATTGTCTACCAACATATATTCTTTTTTACTTGAGTCCTTTTCTTATTTTCTTCTTTTTCCTATAGCATATGTACTTTTCACCAATTTATGAAGATATCTACAATTCTGACAATCGACAGGTTAAGTCAGTAGAGCCTATACCGTTTGCATTTCCTGTAAAATTTAACTTTAGTGAAACAGAGACCATTAGTGTTTCTAACTCCCTTTCTCTTGAAATAAATTGTATTATAGATCCTTATTGCACCTCTTTTCAATTGTTTGATTTTTATCCAGTGGTTGATGGCAAATTACACAAAGCTTGTGCATCTTCAGGCTAGGTTTGCCGATTCTGCTTGCCCAGATTCACAAACATTATGGCCAATCGGATCTGTCCCTGTTTTAATTGTTTCCAGCGAACGATTATGCTCCATAATTATCTTATTTGAGTTCTCATCAATGTTCTGACCGTCATTAGCTGACTGTCATGAACCCTCAGCAATGTTCTAGTTGTGTGCCGCATCCTGTGTCCCTGTTTTCTTTGCTATATACTTAAAGAGGAATAGTATGCTTATAGCTAGCAGTTCCAATTTTTCCTTTGCATGCATCTAATTTGTGCCCAAATGTCTTGCAAGTGGAGAAGAATTTTGGCTCGTGTTTGTAGCAAACCTGTTGATACCTCACTTTACCATTTGGAAGTTTCAGCTTCACCAAGCGAACTAGATCCTTTGAGGCGTCAACCTCAACGAGAATTCGCACAAATGATAACCGGCCCTTTGTTGTCGTTAGCAGATCAGTTGTGACCAGTTTTCCAATCTTTATTGCAATTATACTTAGCGCATTGGGTATCCAAAAATTCAATGGCAGCCCCGGCAACGTTACCCATACCAGCATAGTGCTAACATCACTATCATCAAACTCCAAAAATGATGGTACATTTTTCAACATCAGCAGTCGACCACACACAAAATAAGGGCCTCCTTCCAGCTCTTGTGTTCTATCATCAGCGTTTTTGAATTTGAACACAAGCCATCCACTATGATGTACAAAGTATTGGTACTTAACCCCACATTGATCACACATTTCCAAGAGAGCTGTTTTTCCTAGGAAACTTCCAGCAATGTCTACCAGACAGTAACCCCATGCTATTTCACAGGTTCTCACAAGTTTCTTCAAAAACCAACATATCTGACAGGTTCTCACAAGTTTTTAGCTTGAAACCATTTTCGCGCTTACGGTTCTCCTTGAATAAACTTGCCCATGGTGCCTTAGTTGTATTAGATTTGTTTCCTTGTGCAAAAGTATTTACCTAATGTACTGCAGTAGATCCTTCTTCCAACTTTGTATCTTCATCACCAAGTGTTTGGGACAAACTTTGTGACTTCGAATTTGCATGGTTAAGTTCCTGCTAGAATGTCTTAGTAGAATCAGTGGGATTGGATGAAGAACCACCACCATTTTTTCCTTGTGCGGGAATTTCGTTTGACCGAACCATACTTGGTAAATTTCCAGAATTTTTGGCAAGTGCTGAAAGTCCGTTTTGAATTAACGCAGTTTTTGGCAAATGCAGTTGGTAACCTTTCATCATTATTGTTGTTTGACATTTTTCCCATATGGAAAAGTGAAAATCTTTCGGTGACAGTTTAACAAGATCCTGACTTGAACTGGACTTTTACCCAAGGAATAAGTAAAAATCAAACCAAGAACAAGATATTTTGAGGCCTTAGTGAACGATATCTCCAATCTCTCTAAAACCCTTCAAAACTTTGAAGAAAACCACAATGAATCTGGATGAAACTACAACATTATGGATGAAAACCAGAAATTCTAGTAGCAGATTCGATTTTCACATAGAAGATTATGTAAAAATCAAGTAAAGAACTAGAAATCTCACAAGGCAAGTGTGCACCAAGTGGGATTTTCTCTCACTAGGTTGAGAGCATCTCTCTCTAATTCACTCACTAATCATGTTATTGATTGGAATAGCGACATCACATATGGATATAAGTTGGTCGCTAAAAATGAGAGTTTCTGCATTATGTTATGTCCCCTTTCGTGATTACATCGGTAGTTGATACAATTAACAACGACATAGTTGGAGACCTATGGTGTTGCCATTTAAGCCAAACATTCCACATGTTCACAACTTCATGCTGAAATATCATTGCCTACTTCTTCATGTGAATTTAAGATTGACTTTGTTATTACGTTCCCTCAATTGAATGATACTCTTTGTCATGTTGTTATCCAAGCCAATTGTTCGCTTACGAACTTTTCATGCCAATATCCAAATTTTCCTAATTTTCATGCCGAGATTAAAAAATAATTTATTTTACATCACGAAACTTATAAGTTTGCTTTTGATGCACAATATAGGCTTGAATACTTATGCTTTCTTACATTTTTTTGGGATCAATTTTCTAACTACATCAAGAAAAAGTCTTTTGATAACTCTCATGAAGATAATCTATTTTAGTGGTCATTGCACTTGAATGAAAGTTATGTTTTCAATGTAATGTAATTGTATATTTTTGGGCACATTCGAGTCACTGTTGTTTCAATTATTTATCTTTATATGCTAGTCCATTGTGCTCCTCAATTATTGAAGTTAATTAATATTTTTTGGATGAATTGCACAATATGCCACTTTCAAGTGTTTTCTATCTGTATTTGATTAATAAGAATGACCATTCATTTCATATGAGTTATGCCGTATATTGACATTTAGAGTTCAATATTGATATTTGGTCATGACAAAAGATCAATCTCGATGGAGAATAACGTTGGAATCTATCTCGTAAATGATATAATCGTAGTGCGTAATTAGGATTTTATTCCATAGATTTTTTAATATTTTATTAGTTATTGACCTTTTAAATTGGATACCTTTTTTTTTTTTTTTTTTTTTTTTTTTTTTTTTTTTGGTTTAAAGTAATTAGGGTATGATTTAACAGATTTTTTTGTAGTTAAATTAAACTAGTTTAATCTCTATATTAAGGGAGATTATGTATTGTAATAATTAGACTTTGAGATAAAATAAATTGATATTTTTCCTCTCCGAAGTCTCCCTCTTCGTTTCTTTCTTATTTCTCTTCCTCTTTCATTTTTGAATATTGTTCTTGTTCGATTATATTCTACATCGCTTTTCCTCGTATTTTCAAGTTAATTGAAGATTATTAAGTTCACACTTGTCTAGCATTGATAAGTTTAACCAGCTAAAGAACAAACGGCGGTTCACAGCACATTCTTCTATATATGACGAGTTGGAGAAGTAACTTTCAAAGACATTACTTATGTCTTCTTGGCATAATCCGTACAAATGTTTTCATTAACTCAAGCTTTGTCCTAATCTTAGGCTATGTTTAATTGCACCCAATTTCATGGAAAATGGAAATTAAATTTCATCTTTCTAATTTTTTGTTGTTTGATTGGCAAAATTTTCCCCTAGAATTCGAATTCCACCTTTTATGCCACCTAAGCTAATTTCCATGTTTTCCTCGAATTGGAATTCTCAGTTACTATAACACTTTTTTTTCGATTTTTTTTTTTGTTGGCAGTGAAAACAAATTCTAAAAATTATTGTAAAAATATTTCCCTTTAAATGTCAATTTTCATGTAAAACAAAGACAAACGAACACCAAAAGATAAATGATTTTCTTGAAATTTGTTTTTTGTGTGTGTGTTGGCAATGGAAACAAATTTCATCTCCAATACCAATAAAATCTATCCCTTTAATTGACAATTTTCATGTAAAACAAAGTCAAATGTAGATCAAAAAATACTTTCATTTCAACATTTTCCACATGAAAAATTATCCCAATCAAACACAATAATTTACAATTATTAGGAAAATAATTTTTTGGCAATTCAATTCCTTGAAATTCGTTTTCAATTCAATTCCATTTTTGCAATCAAACGAACCCTTAGTATTTAATAACAATACTTTCTGGCATTTTAAGAAACTTTACGAATCGTGGAGATTCAACTCCTAAGTCTGCTAGATCGTATGGTACCTAAAATGGCTTTTGCCCTCAACTGGCATCGAAGCTTTTTACTCTCCTGCGTATGTTGGGAATCTACTTAACGTGCGCAGCGAAAAATAAAAACAGTTTTCGATTCCCACCTGGATTCATCTTTGTGTTTAGGAAGGAGTTGTGATAAAAGATGCATCTTTAAAATTTTGCAAACCTTTTGCCATTCTTTTCGTTCTAGCAACTTCGATCTATCACCCACAGCTGTCTAATTGTCCAGTCTCCAACGGTGATCCACACAGAGAACAAGATTGCAAGATTATGATTTTTTTCTTATACTAGCAAGAATAATTAATTTCCTACGCACTGAAAATCCTAGCCATATATTTATATAAGTGGAAATTACATGCTAACAGGTGCTTCAAAATCACAATTCAAAGACCAGGTATGAAGTTTATTTGTTCAACTATCAGGTTTGATGTAATTATTTATATTAATAATCATATTATAAAATTATTTATTTTAGTAATAATAGTATAAAACTACCCATCCCCAACCGCCCCCAAGCCCCCAAGCCCTAAGATTATACACGGATAGTCCTCTCTCTTTTCACCCTCATCTTCGTTCGCTGTCAACCATCTCTTCATTTTATTCCGGTGTCGTTGTGAGACGGCACCACCGCGGGAGGATCGGCACCGTTGCAAGAGTGCGAAGACCATTGCAGGATGATCGGCGGCGCCTACTGCATGGACCTCTGCCCCAGGTCCTCGCTGCGACTCTAGACTGGTGCTAGATCACCATAGCGCCACCATTGCAAGAGGATTGGCGGCGCCTACTGCGAGGACCTTTGCCCCAGGTGTGCCGCGCGACCTCTTCCCATCCCGAAAAACATCGTCGGAATATGTCCAGCTGCAATACAGTTACACTGCTGCAGGCACCGTGATGTGTCGAACGAATGTGATGATGCCATTTTGGATTAGGTTCTACACTAATTTTGTTGACAATGTTTTGTAGTTGGTGGTCATGATGTTTGGCGGTGATGTTGATTTGGTGGTGATGAAGCCGTGCGTCCTACCTTTTCTCCTTGTTTCTATTGCAACCGAGTGGGAGTGGTGGTGGTGGTGGTGGTGGTTGCGCGTGTAGGTGGTGGTGGTGTGATTGCCACTTGTTTTTTGTTGTATTGCAAGCAGTGGAGGCGGTTGTGGTGCGGTGCAAGTGATGGTGCAGGGGTGCAGGCGACGGCGGTGGTGGTCGTCATTTTTTTGTTGGTGGTGGTGATGTCGTGCTGTTGGTGGTGGCAACAGTGACGAGGTGAGGGCAATGGTGGCAGTGGTGGTGGTATTGTGCTGGGTGTTAGGTGTCTGTGACCAACTATTTGGTCTTCATGTAACTAACTATTAATCAGTGATTTTAAAATTCGATCACTTTGTGACTAAAAATGTAATTTGTGACCATCAAATTTGAAAATATGTTACATGTGACATATAATTTTTTTGGATTTGTGACCAATGACATAAATTGTGACCTATAAAATCAATAGATAAATTGTGATATGTGATCTCGAAACAATTTGTGACCCATCAAAGTTTTGATTCGTGACTTCGAAATTATTTGTGACCAATTAATGTGATGATATGTGATCAGTGAATGAATCTGTGACCTATAATTGTGTACACGTGACCACTAATTATATAATTATGAACTTATTATATTTAATTAATAAATATTTTTAATTAATTAAATAAAAACCTAATTTTTGCATTAGTTAAACTTAAAACTTGATTTTTGAATTGTGCATAGTTAATACATGGTTTATGAATTTTTCCCTTTATATAAGCCTAAAATGGTTTAACTTGATCTGGTCCAATATTTAATTAATTCATTTAATTAAATCCGGTACGTAAATTAATTAATCCAATTAATTAATTCGATCCTATTAACAACCAACCCAATTAATTAATTTATCAATGCTAGTTAAATTAATTAATTGACAAATCACAATCTTCCAGTTCTCCTTTTGTGTGCGACTCATCAAGTTCCTAATCAGGATGTTTAACGACGTGAAATATTATTTTGATCTAATCAAAATTGATAATTTAATTTATAATCAATTCACATTCGTTGTCCCAAATTGACATCTAGCATTGTATCAGGGCAATACATGTGACGAAAAATGTCATGTGGTATGACAAAACCAAACTCGTTTGTTTACCGTGAGACTATAATCCCCTTCGTTAATATGATTCGATCAATTACAAGATACGAAAGTGTGTCAATATCGATTATCGATCATATCATTCACTCCACTATTAAGTCAATATAAGTTAAAAAATCCTTTTCGACTTATGTATACATCAGACCAATGATTTCGTTATCGACTTAATTGAATGAAATGCAGATCATAATATCTTACTATCTAAGAGTGATGAATTCTCAATTGATCATTCACAATCTTCGTATGATTCTTGACATACCCAAACGATGCAATATTAGCGGTCCTTGACAGAGCAACATCCAACACTATCAAAGCATGACTGTCCTCATATAAGGTACTATGATGATCTCAAATCAAAGGACCAATCCCACTACTGAACGTTAGAGATTAACCACTAACACTCAGTTATCCATATGAAATATCTCAACGGGTCTCCAACGTTTTGTTCAATAACAAAATATCCATGTGTTCATTTAAGTGTCATCATACTTTAGTTTGTAAGATCAGTTACTTACTTCACACGTAAGAAATGCCACACGTGATGGTCTATCCGTAATAACGATATCCATATCTCGTTATTACTTACGACCACGGACGATTTGAGATTCAATCATATATAATTTTTATCTCACAATCACAATTTCTTGTAATTAACGAATTACTAAGATTTGAATCTAGGAATTCTATTATTTGATTTAATTGTCTATTAAATAATAGATTTGTCATTAAATTGCATTAATTATATACTAAAAGTATTTATGTTCAAGGTTGATTGGACCTAGGACATAATACTTACAGTGTATACTTCACAAGGAAATTTTACCTTATACACGGGATAGAAATGAACACTTGTAAGAGAAGTACAAAATGAATATTTGATCGTAAATTCCTGTTAATTTGTCTTTTATTTTCAGATACTAACACGTCGATTTGCATAATTTTGAGTCATACCTTAAAAGTTTACAATGCTGGAGTATGATGTATTGTTACAACATAATTCATTTTTCAATCATGTGGGTGCTTGATTATGAGCAAATATTTCTATGGATCTCAATTTATGCTGTCAAATTTGGCTGCATCTAAATATTTATTCACATATGTTTCTTCAGATTGACATTCTTGCAATGTCGTCTCGTCATATTATTTTCTCATTGTCCTAAAGAATTGTTCATTCAATAACAAGAAGTTCTTGCATTTCGTGGTGATGCAAGTACAGTAGGTTATAATACCCGGGATTTTAAATCTAAGCTATTCAATTTTACGACATATTTTTGTGAAATGATCATCCCTAACTACTCATTTATACAGAAAATGGATGTCAAAGTTGGGTTTAGTACAAGATATCAACAAATCTTACTGAAAAAATATAGTATTTGATCTTTAAAATAAATTACCCAATATTCAGAAAGACAAATCATTTATTTTACAATTTTGCTACTTGTACAGAAATTGGGTTACAGATTTGTCGGTAGAATATGAGATGAATTCAAATCAAGGGCCCAAAAACTGCCCCTTCATTTCTGTCCACAAATTTGTACAAAAAATTTATGGATGTGTAGCAGTTCTCTATTCATTATTGTCCTAAGTACAGGGCATTATTTCTACAGAGGCCTTACAGGCCTTTCACTGTAGAGGGAGGTCGGTGGGTCCAACCTAAAAAAAAAAAAAAAAAAAAAATTGAGCAGGCCACACCAATGTGTCTACCCTGACAGAGGCCTGTGAGCCTCTGCCAGTACGGCTTTTGCCAGTACTTGAAGCACCACTCTTCTCTATTTTATCATGCAGAATAGAAAAAAATGATTTCTATATCTATTAATCCTTTCACACCAAACTTTATCACAATGAAATCATCTGGAACAATAATATAATACAACATAAACCTTAAACCTTTCTTGTGTAGAATTCAACCTAATTAAGATTTTAAGGCAGCAGCATCAGCTGTGGGCTTCTCAACAGTTTCTACCACCTCTTTCTTCTCTTCCTTGGTTGGCTCAACACCCTTATCTGTGGCTTCTGTAGCCTTAGGTGCCTCGACCGGGACAACTTCTTCAACAGCTACTTTTGGTTCAGTTTTTGTTTCTTCTTCCTCGACCTTCGGAACTTCTTGAATTGCTGGTTCGGAAATATCTATCAAAGGTTCTTCCTTCTTAGTCTCAACTTCTCCTTCGTTGTCCTGAAATTGTCAATCACATGAAAATCAAATCATAGATTTAGATCTATATCTGTGATGCCATACAGGCCAGAACAAGGCATAGGTACGAGGATATCCTAACGGGGATAAATTTGAAACAACACACGATTGCAAAATGTATTTATAAATAAAGTGATTACTTGGGGAATGGTCTCTGGCACGGCCGGGGCTTCTGCAGGGGCCGCAGCTGGAGCTGGTGCCGGTGCAGGTTCCGGCTGGTTATCCAAATCCAAGTTCTTAGGTCTGCTCGCACAGGCTCCCATGATATCTCGAGACTGAAGGGAACGATTGAGCGAGGAAAGAGTTGGATGGATGAAGATGGGAAACTTTTAATGGAAACGAGACAAAACAAGAATTTATATAGAGTTTGTCGGATTATAACAAGAATTGTCAAGCTGTAAATTTACCTTGTCCTAGGAACCACCATATTTCTCGTTCCTACATTGATACATTTAGAGGAAATTTCACAAAATTTCCATTTTTATCTAATCATTTGCAAAAATGTTCATCATTGTAAAAATGTCTAATTTGGAATAATTTAGACCAAAATACTCTTATTAACAATTTATAATTCCATACTAAGACAAAAAAATGGATATTTTTGCAATATTGTTATTGGCTAATAAAATTTTGACACATAACCTGTCATATTTATTTCAAAAAGTATACGTGTCAAATTACAATAAATGCAATGTTTTTCATTGATTCAAAAATGTCGAGAACGACATTTTTAAATGTAGAAAAATATCATGTTCAAAATGAAATATCATTCTGGACAAATGAAACGGTGTTCAAATGTCGAGAAACATTATTTTAATGTAGCTTATCATGGAAGTCACTTCTCAAAATTCGTGATAAATTGATAAAAAAATCAAATGTCAAGAACGACATTTAAAATATCAAGAATACCATTTCAAAATTTAGTTTTCATTAAGAGCATAATAGACAAGTTAATACTAAATTCAAATAAGTTGACACTTTTCAACTCATACCCTTAAAATTGGACATTCTTAAAAATACCCTATACATTTATCTATCAAGCATAATTTTCTTGGGGAAATGGGAGGCCTTATTTACACTATTAAACATATTAAGAAAAATTGGGCAGGGCTCGTCTTTTATCTTATATTTGAGCTTCAATTTATTTATTTAATTTTAATTTTAATTTTTTGTTAGAACTCACTTTTTTCAAAATTTCATTGTCAGCCCAAGTTTTTCCGTAAAATAATTTTACACGTAAATTAAAAAAATTTCCCCATCTTTAACCAGACAATTTTAAAATAATCGCTGTTACAAAACACATTTTCCAGTGGGAGTAGTAATTTATCAATTTTCAAAAGTGAGGTATTGACTCCCCAACTTATTTAATATTGTGAGATTGGTCCCCATTTCATAATGTGATGAAAACGGGCGATCTAGGTGCTAAATTACAGGGGACTTGCACGTGAATTAATAAAGGAGATCAAAACTGACGAATCACTTAATATTTTTTCTAATTCTAAAATATGTGATTTTAACTTTCACATTGTCGATTTTCGTTACGAGGGATCTAATCTAACATGGTTGGGAAGTCCGTCCTAACTTTTCCAAAATATTATTAACATGTTTTTATTTTTTCGAATTCTCATATTTTTACACATTTTATATTGAAATAAATTTAATAATATACAATCATTTATGTGTTGCGTGCCGGACTTGTGATCCACTAACCCTTCAATTTAATGTGTAACGTGGAATAGGTACATTTTTTTTTTTTTTAATTCTGAACCGACAAATTTCAAATCATTTTCTATAATAGTAACAGTATTAATATGAATAATTAATATTCAAATATCATAAATAAGTTGGGAGAAACAATTTTATATGATACCCACACTAAAATAGATTTTTAAAATATATTTTTCTTTCTTATGTTTAATTACACATTTTTTAATAAAATAATATTACACTCAAATTTAAAAATTTTCCTTATTTTTTAAATACACATTCTCTGTAAAAGTACTATTCTAAAATACATTTTTGACAAAAAAAAAAAAATGAGACTCAAACAAACTCTATATAATTAGTTTATCTTCTACTATTCAACATTTCAATTTATTACTATTTTTTTATTATACCATTATTTAATTCTTGACCATGACTATGTTATCTGTGTTTGGGTGCACGCGTATATTTATATTTTTCCTTCTTGACGCATATTGTTGTATTTATTGTTTCTAATGGATGCTATTTTACTTTTTAACTATTAGTAATTTTAACTATATTCTCTAACTTTTAGTATTTTACATTTTAACTTTTATTATTCTTTAATAATGTAAGAGTGTGTTTGATTGTTTATTTTTCATGAAAAATGTCATTTTTTCATCCAAGTTCCTGTTTTTGGAGTGTTTGATTGCTATTTTATTTAATGGAAAATATTTTCCAAAAGTTAGTCATGTAACAATATTTCACTCAAATAAGGAAAACATTTTCTTTAGAGATGAGTAATTTTTTAGCAAGTACTGTAGGACAATGGAGGCGATTCATGACGAGCGGTCCGTTCTAATGTCGTGGAAGGTTCCAGACGTAGAAGGAATTTAGTGATGTCAATGACTGAGGTTCGAGGGTCGTTAGGAGGAAACTCCCTATGATGCTATCCACTAATCTATCTCGTCTCATGTAGTTCCCCCCATAGCCTTAGGGTAGGCATGAAATTAATTAATAGCTTCTGAGTTAAGCGATTGAAGTATTGAAATCTCCCCTATCCTCGGGCACAACAAGACCTGCTTTCCCTCTTTCTGTTACATTGTCGGGACTTTTCGGTCACTGTAGGAATTGGGTTCAAGCTTTCCCCAACCCCTTCGTCAGGGCACAAATATCTAAATTTGATATTTTTAGATACTTTTTCCTCTTGCTCTCTCTCTTTCTCATCTATCCCCCTCTCTTCCAAGTACCCACCAATAAAATATAAACAAGTATAATATTTTCTAGGTTAAAATTGAACTAATGAAACATATTTAATAAATAATTTTCATACAAATAAGTTGTAGGAAATTCAATTGTATAAATTTATTTTCTTTCCATGCAAATTTTATCTTGCAATACGTAACTTAGTCCTTATTTGGTAGTGATTAAAATTCAGAATTTAATTGAAATCAAAGTTAACAATATATTTTACAATTTTTCGACCACACATTTTATCAATGTTATGAATTGATCACGAGATAATGATAATAGTGAAATAAACACTAACAAAAGAAGAATACCAACATTTATATGGAAACTCAAAAGAGAAAAAGCCATTGGCATCGAAGAAGAAATTCAATAATCAATAGTAATGTGTTTATATACATATGTGTGTGTGTAATACATAAATATGTGTACATGTGAATACACATATATCGAAGGAGAAATTCAATAATATATATATATATATATATATATATA